ACTAGCCAAATCCCTCCAGGAGCGGACTTGAGAACGACTCAGTTGGTGGGACCACCTTGAAGCGGGTCCAATCAAACTGTCTTGAAAGCAGTGGATCAACATCTGATCATTGTTAGTGTATCCAGTCATTCTTCGAATAAACATCGTGAGGTGGGCATTGGGGCAACTGGTTCCCCTGTACTTTTCAAACTCGGGCACCTTGAATTTGGGCGGGAGCACCAAGTCGGGAACTAGTACTAGTTCTGTTGCATCCATCCCGTTGCGAGAGGTTTGTCCTCTCATTCCCTGAAATGTCTCTCTGCACCACTGTTTCAGATTCTCTGGGATCTCGTTCTTGGCTCTTCTCGTCGCTTGGTGACTAGGAATCCTTTTTCTTGGTTGAGCTCAGCCATCTTTGCTACCATTTGGTCAACTAGATCTTTTTGGTTTTGCAAGATACGATCCACGGTGGTCTTTTGCATCTGCTCCATTTTAACCTCCCACTCAACTTGCATCTTTTGCAAACTCTCGTTCAGCTCTTTCTTTAATTCCTCAAACTTTGCATCCATTCTCAGTACTGTGTGAATGCAATTGCACAGTTAGAAGTGCTTCCTCAAAGTTTCCAGCAAGGTATGATTAATGCATGTAAACATGCTTAAATGAATGTTATGCAAAATGCAACGATGCAAATGCAAATGCAGTAATGTGGATCCCAACAATGAATATTTTAGAACAATTTTCACCAGAAATAAAAGTTTTCACATTACAAGACAGTCCACTTTACAGACTTGACTTCTCTTAGATGTTGAATCGGAAATGGGTCGCTGCTTCATCTTGGATCTTCATCCTTGAAAATGATGCCCCTCAAGCGTTTTGTAAACAGACTCTTTTAATGCCCCGGCGATGCTGAAGTCAGTGCATCACTCTTCGATGAATAACGTCGGAACGATCGTAAATAATAATCTGCTGCTGGATTAATCCCCAGACTTCAGTCTTAAATGTTGCACGATCTTCGAGCTCACTGCTTTGTCTCGGATCTTTGTATTTGGAACTGATGCCCCTAAAACATTCTGTAACCTAACTCTGTTAATACCCCAGTGGTGCGGAAGTCAGTGTGCCGCTCCTTGATAAGTAGCGATGAAACGATCGTAGATAAAAATCGACTGCTGGATCACTCATCGGATCAGTGGCTCATCATTTTATTCTCGAACGTTGCACGATCGTCTTGAGCAAGTCTCCTTCTCGTACTCTGTGCATTTCTTTTTAGCCTTCGGTGCATGTCTGTGTACGCGACTGCTTGGTTGAAAACTTTTATCTCTTCTTGTGAAAATTTTCTCTCGAATATCCCCTTGCTGATCAACATTTTCGCATTATATTATGATGATGCAATGTAAAGAAGAATGAAAAAAACAAAAACAAGAGAAAATAAATAAGTTAGTGCACACAAAGAAAATAAAAGAAATTAGTTAGTACAGGTAAGACAATCGATATAGATAAAAGTGTTATTAAAAGATGAATATAACACCTACCCATCATGATATCTACCCGAGCATGCTTTCAATAGATAACAATCCTACCCGGACATGCTATCTACCCAAAAATTGATTTAATTTCAAGAAAATAATCCTAACCGCATGATATCTAGTTCGCATGCTTTTATTCTAAAAGAATAAATATATTCTACAAACTTTAAACAAAAGGTAAGGGTTTAGAAACATTCCTCCTTTGTGTACACCTATTTTAGGTACCTACTGACGGACAGAGGTTCGATATAACTATACCTAGGGTGATCGTTCGACGGTTCACTACATGCTTGGTTTCGGCTCTAACGAAAAAAAGGGACTCGAATTGTCCTTGATGTCGGTGCTCCCTTGGGCTGCCAGACCCTCAATCCTTACCCATTACAGGTTTCAAACGGACCGAGTTCAATTCGAGGGGATTCACTGCCTTATACCCATACGAGGAATAAATTCCTACGAAGGTATAAGGTATGTATCCCATGGGTTATTTGCTAAAACTCATACGAAGAATAAATTCTTACGAGAGTAAAGCATTCACCCCAACTAATTTGGATCGAAGCTCGTGTCTAGAGCTTGTGTTATGCTAATGCGAGTGATGTGTGTGAGGAGGAACATACCTACCTTCGACCCAAAAGGAAAACAAAACAAGGAAAAATGATAAAATCCTGACAAAGCTGAAAGCCAAAAAATAAAATGTTAGTACGACAAAAAACGAAGCAATTAAAAATTTCAATAAACGGATCATAAATTAACTAAAAACTAGAAATCATAATTTCCACCAAGATGACAATATGTAAACGACATACAGCCTGACTCTCAAAAAAAAGTCCCCAGCGGAGTCGCCAAGCTGTCATAACCATTTTTTTATAAAACAATTAAATATTGTTTAAAAAACGATTATGACTTTAATTTGGAAAAATTGGGGAATTTGGATTGATTTGGACTAAATTGAATAGAGTCGCCATCGACCTTTGGGTTAGGTAGGTCGAATACCTAAAAACGTCTTTTAAACAATTTTAAGTAAAATCATTTTTTAAGACAAAAATGGTCTGTGCTTACCAGAAATCAAATTTAACGGGTTCGGGAGTCGGTTACGTGTGGAGAAGGGTAAGCACCCCCCACATCGCCCAAAATTGGTACTGTGTCGCTTATACGTTATCGTAAATGGTGGAAATGATAAATCGAATATAAAGTTAAACTATGATCCGTTTATTGAGCATAGTTTAATTTGCTTCGAATTAATTATTTAAAGAAAATCCTTAAAATCAATAAAAAATCTTGAAATTAGCAATCCTCCATCGGGAAAGCTATTTCAACTATTTTTCATTGTTAAAAAATTCTATCATCAAATACGTAAAAGATGCATGTCGAATATAAATTGCAATTTGACAGTTGCGAAAATAAAATAAATACATATCTTGCATTGTTAAGTGTAAAATAAGAATGAATTAATAATTAACAAACTAAAAATTTATTTCAAGTTCCATTTAATTCGAACGTCGTATTAGATTGTACCACTTCGATCAAGTGATACTTTCTACGCCCGTTCTACAAATCGGTATTCTTAAAAAACATTCGAATAATGACAAAAAGGGGAGTAAAATTAATAGATTGAAATAAATATATATTAAAATATGTAAGAACTAAAATAAAAACATAAATTAACATATATAAATAAATGTACCTGCATAACAAGATTACAAAATTAGACTGAAATAGATATGTACAAATATGATACGTTCAAGATATAACTTAACCATACTTGATAACATAAAGGACTAAAATAAACCCAACAAACATTGCAAACCAACTAAAATACCAACAGATATTATTTAAAGGACTAAAATAAAATTAACAGAAATTTGAAGGTCTAAACAGTAAAACAAAAACATGAAGGCTGAATCATAAATAAACAGAATGTAAATTAGTGACTAAAGTGATTGATTTACAAATATTGCTGCCAAATTCGAACATAAAAAACATAATACAGGATTAGTGACTAAAATGCATAAATTGAAACTACATTATCAGATTCGTAAAATAAAAAAACAGAATCAATCAGTGACTATAATGAACAAGAATAAAAAATCAGTGGCCAAAATGTAATAACAGAAAAAGTGACTAAATTAAATTAATATAAACATGGAGGACTAAACAATAATTAAACGAAAATGTTAAACAATGACTAAAATAAAAGATTTATAAATATCATAACCAAATTCGAATAGCGAGGAAAATATACAAAACATTAAATCGGTGATTAAAATATAATAATTACAAATATGGTTACCATAGTCAAACATTAACAAAAATGGAATAACATGTAATCTGATGACTGAAATATAAATAAGGAAACATGAATACTCAAAATAAAATAAAATAAAAATTCATTAAATGGCATTATACTGAGATTACAAAGTACCTGGGACCTAAATGGATATAAACCCCTAATATGAAAACACGGAGAGGTATGGGGTCGAAACGGCGCCGTTTCGGTCAGATAATATAAGCCCAAAACACGGGCTAAAATCACTCACCCCCTCATTTGTTCACTTCAGCGAAACCAGAGAGGAAAGAGAGATTTAGAAATCTCTCAACCTCCCCTCGTCAAGGAGAGGGAGCCACGGCGGAGCTCGCGGTGGCGAGCGGCGGCGTCGGCGGCCGGAGGAAGCTAAAAAGACCCCAAAGCGTTCCTCTCCCAACTCTCAACCCTGATCTCAACTCCTTTACCCAAAAAAAGAACTCTAGGACCCCAGATCTTCGAGATTTACCTCTCGGCAAAACGACTCTAGCGACCTTTGACGTTCCCCACTGGTATCGAACCCACGGTGAGATTCTCTCCTCCCCTGTTCTCTCTATTTTTGCTTGGTAGTTCTCGGTTCCTCTTTTGCTCTGGGTATGTGTTTTTGTTTTCTAGAGTTCTCTCTCTCAGACCCCGAATGGTCTCCCCCAATCCCCCTCCACCGAATGGCTCCTGCATGGGATATTGGTGATACATTTCTTTTGGATAGGGTAATAATATCCTAGATTTCTAGGACAAGATTTCTGACTTTGGCTTGGTTGATCTTTTTAATTATCTCTGCTGTTTGATATGATTTGGGGTCACTGTTGTAGTCATTGTTTGCAGGCGGCCGGTTGAGACAAATCTGGCAGGAGAAACAGTGCCGGCGGCGGCAGCATCAGCATCTACCTAGGGTTATGATGAAACCCTAGGTAGATGGGTCGTTGATCGGGTCTGGAGTTGGGCTGGTTCGGCTTCAAGCGGGTCGGGCTCCAATGGGTTGTTGGGTTGGCCGTTGATGTAGTTGGTAATTGATTGGGGTCTTGGGCTTACGGTTTTTTTTTTTGGGCCTCAGTTGATGTAGTTGGGCTTGATGTGGCCTGCATCAAAATATTGTAATATGTAATTAATATAATAATAATAATAAATAATAATAATAATAATAATAAAATTAAATTAAATTAGATAGGAAAGACCCGGACAAAACCGGGTGTCTACACCTGGATCAACCAATTCATCTATAGCATATTCTTCCAGAAGGGGACGGGCCTATTCAAGACCATGAAATAAAAAATAAGCGAAAATAAACCAGGACATTGAAACAGGCAGAAAGAATGTCTTTGTCCTTCACATATATGGCAGATGTTAGTGAGATCTCTTTCATAAATTGTTCTTAAAGTTACACTATGGAGGGGAAAAGAATAAATGCTCGAACTAGCAATGTGCAGAAAGACATAGAAGCAGAGGTTTAAAACTTTACCCATTCAATTAGACATTGTTGGCCTTTTGGCCTATTAAGGTCCACAGCTTTCCGCCCAGTAACAAGTTCAACTAACACCACTCCCAAGGAATAAACATCGGCTTTTTCGGTTATTTGGCCGGTTTCAGTGTATTCTGGTGCCAGATGCCTATGCCACACCATAAACCATAACTAATTTCTTTATTTGCATTAAGTTAGGTAAATTGTGAAAAACAAAGACGTCGTTCTAGTTTACCCAAATGTTCCAATCACTCTTGTTTCGACTCCAGCATCACCATCAGGCTGCCATCTGGCAAGGCCAAAATCACCAACCTAGCAAAACAAATCTGAATCAATACTTGCATGGACAACCATTTAACAAAGCTTCAGTTATAGGAACTGATTCTCCTCGTATCCATCTTAAAATATTTAAGGTGATTGGATTGCAACTAAAAAGGAGGATATTGGACGTTTAATGTCAATGCACCAAAATCCTCTTAAAATTTGAACACCAAAACACAATGTTTTAGTAGTTTCTTTATAAAGTTTTACTAACACCAACGAAAGGAAAGGATTCTGCCTAATGTCAACACTAGAAATGAAGAATAAGATCCTTCATTGTGTAAATTTGAAATTTACGCATGCAGAAGGGTTAAAAGTTTGCCTACCAAAGATTCAAAATCATGGGTAATCAGAATGTTGTTTGGCCGCATATCACGGTGCACGATGCATCCAACTCTGCATTCTTCAAGAAGGTATCTCAGACCTCTAGCACATCCTATAGCAATCTTTTGCCGCGCAGACCATTCTAACACCTCCCCATGATGCCCTGGAACACATCAAATTTGTGGTACATTCAAAACTATTGTTGCTAGATAGAAATAAGCATATTCAAGAAAAATAAATATTTTCATCTAAAAACTAGAGTGTGATCATGCTAAATCAACAGTAACAGCTCCATCCAAGTTCACTATCTATGGTTTCTTTTTGCACTTCTTGCATTTTACCATCTATGTTAGGGGGGAAACACCTTTTTCCAGTCCGATCATCAAATCCAAATAGTTAGGAAAATAGATTGTCAATAAAAACGAGATATCAAGCCTCTATGTCTCATAGTTTTATAGAAAAGTCTCTAGGGGCCCATAAGATGATGACTATGTCTACCACAGGAGCACACCAAAGATCAGTACATACATAGTGAAGTGAATTAAAGATCGGTGAAATACCATATAGATGAGAATCTAGAGATCCATTGCATATGTATTCATAAACCAAAAGCCGCCTTCTATCCTCAATGCAGAATCCAATCAGCATAACAACATTCTTGTGCTGAGCACAGCTGAGGGCTTCCACTTCCGAGTAAAATTCATGATCTCCTTGAGAACTAGCCAATTTGTGTTGCTTGACTGCAATTGCCTGTCCATCTGGCAGTACTCCTCTATAAACGGATCCAAACCCGCCCTTGGCCAAGAAATTAGCTTGAGAAAATCCACCAGTTGCAAGCTCCAATTCAGCATAGGTAAACCACCTTGGCGGTTTTCCAAATACAGGTGCCCTATGCTGACATATTGAACACAACGGAGGAGGGCCAGGAGGGGAGTTTCTCGATAATGTAACTGCTTCTCTCACATTTCCACTAAATTCAATATCACTCCTAAAGCTTGATATTCCAATTCCAGCTTCTCTATCAGATTTTGAAAATTTCTCCAGTGAGGCTTTTGTTGTTGAAGCTTGAGCCCTAACATTAATTCGACCTGAAGGCTCTTCGAGGTATTGTGAGGACTGATGATGAGAAGTAAGATATTCTGTTATCCATGGCTGATAACTTAAACTCGCTGAAGATAAGGATAAGTTTTCGCTCTCTGGGTCTGAAATGGATTCATCAAGATCCTGGTTTTCCTTGATGACTAGTGATTCCTCTTTCTTCGAGTCTGAATTTCTTTCTGAGGAGCAAAAAGGTGAAGTGCCTGGATCAGAGCTAGACACTGAAGAAGTTCCTGCTTCAATAGCACTGAATGTCGTCCCAAGCACTGGACTGCTAGTTGGAGTGAAAACAGGCCCTATATCGGATGATCCATTTTTGTTTTGGGGATGCTTTTCAGATGTTTCATCTGCCTCAGGATTTAATTGACAAGCTTCAGCTTCCTTCTCAGATGACCCAACCAAATTTAAGCGGAGCACTTTTGATTGAGAACGCTTCATGATCACTATGTTGCATTGCAACTCCTCCATACATCGCTTTTCCTCATGTTTGAGCTGCCTGAAAAAAAAATAAACAAATGGGGATATAACTTTTAGGATACAACACAAAAAGAAAAGAAAGGAAGAAGAAACAAAGCAAAGAGGATGTTACTTATCCAATACAACCCAACTAGATTGAGCTTGTTTAGCTTCTTCAGCTACAGCTCCACATGATGATTCGGATACACTTTTTATCTTGACATTAATCTGTGCAATGAAGCTCCGAAACAAATCATTAGCAGGCAATGACATTTACATAAAACAATAATATAATCAAGCACCCAGTATTTACCTTGTTTGGATCATAAACATCGTGGAGCTGGAGGATCATTTGGGAGAAGGAATCACTGATACCAGAATTTTGCTCCGAACTTGATCCGGTTTGGGACTTGCGGCTACTGCAGGCACAATCACCAGAGAATCTTGGAAAACCCCATTTTCTACCTGGAGGGATTGCGGCATTTAATCATCAGGCAGGAATAATGGTTGAAAATTAAGTTAGAGGATTTGTAAAGAGTTGACATCATAATCAATTCTAACGGCGACTCTTCTGAGCCTCGAGCACTTCCTATGCCAGAAAGAACTTAACACACTCAGGAAACTAAATAATTTTAAAAAAAGAAATATGAGATATGTTATAAACTGGAATGCAAAATCTGGAAGATAATCCATTATCATATACAGTAATTTTTTTCCAGGCAGATGATAATATGCCTGCATCCAAGTAACTGCGATGCGCACCGGCTAACAAAAACCCTTTGACAGTATTCATAGACCATTGATTCATGTAATAAAATTTCTAAAATCCCAAAATAGAAAAGCACATCTATACCATCGGCAGGAGTTCAATCCTAAAACGTCATAGATAAATGCGAAAGCAATAACAGAACAACCTGAACAGTGTGAAGGAACAACAAGCAACGTAATGCAGTCTCCAGGTTGAACAACATGAGTTAATGCCCACACCAGAGCAGTCTTGGAAATTTCTTTCGATGCTTTAACAGCAACCACTACTTTCTTGGCCATGCCCAACCCAGTTTTCCCTTGCTTTCCCTTCTATTCTCGACTCATTTGCCACGGAGAATTCCGATCGAATTTCCTCACTTCACAACTTAAAAACTATCTTAATAACAACTACCATTGTAGAGGCCCCAAAAAACCATTCTTAAGAGGAACTAACAAAAAAAATTTTGCATTATTGATCTGCCCCCAACATATTGGATTCTGAGTACATGTGCCACCAAAATGGCTAACTATTCCATTCCAGATAATCTGCTGAGAAACAGAGAGATATGCATCTATGACAACCTCCTTTTCACTGATTCAGGTGAACGACGGACTACTCACTCAGTCACTCTAAAAAAACCAACTTTTCAAAGTTCTCTTAGTTTCACCTTCCTGTTAAATGTTAGTAGTATGTCTATTCATTGCACATTTGATGAAGATCTGACTACCCTTTTATCACTAAAACATGAAAGTTAAGTCTTTTGGCTTAAATTAGAGGCACGGATTGAGTATCATACTGTTTGTCATGAAACTGCAAAGCGACAGCTGCCCCCAAAAGGTGAATCAATACAATGAACCTGCTTTCCCATTTCTTTTCTGAATGGGGTTCAAATCATGGTGTCAACACAATGAAAGTAACAGCTACAAAAGAAGAAAGGGTAGGTTGTGTCTTTCTGGATCCGAGAATCAGTTTCCCTCCTTTTTCTCTCGTTCAGTTCTTCGCAGAAACGGAACAAAATTTTCTGCACAATGATTCTCTTGTATAGGTTTCCATACAAAGAAGATCAAATCAAATCACAATGAATGACAGAAGAAAAGCATGCGTTGTAAGGCAGCAGCGTTCTTGTAGAAGGATTTGACTCTTGAAATGTTCACATCTAGCTAAAGGCCTCAGTTGTAAATAGAAAACACTCGGCACTCTTTTCAACCCTCGAATTCAAGCAACAAAACTAGTTCAAATCCTGCGAAATCTGTACATAATAAAATAGAGATTAGTACGTCAAAACTTACACATATTAGAAAATCAAAAAGAGAAAATATCTGTGTTCGTAGAAACATTTTAAAATATGATATACAAAACCAAACAATATCAGCTACCTCGCTAATTAATAATCAAACCTCCAAAAAATTGTTTTTAAAACAAAACCCATATACTCTGTCATAAAGGAATCAAACTTTCACCCAATTTTTTTTTTTTTAAAAAGGCTTATATATATATATATAACAAAAAGAACATGTTGAGAGTGAAAAAATGAGAAACAAAATGGCTTCGTGCCCAGTCGAAATAGTTACCTATATGTTTCCGTTACAATCATTTTAATTTAGTTTAACTAGCACTGTTCTTCTTCTTCTCCATCGTCTTCTTTTTCAGGCCATATTAGCAACACTAAAAATAAGCAAGCTAAAATGGGACTCACTCATCTCTCATTTGTTGATGATATTCTTATTTTTTGCAAGGGGAACACTGAATCTATTATTGGTGTTAATAGTGTCCTGGACATGTTTTATAAAATGTCTGGTCTGAAACTCAATGCATCCAAATGTGAGCTATTTGCTGCTGGTATGATTGCTACGAAACTAGAAGAGATCAATCTGTCTACTGGTTTTAAAAATGGCAGCCTGCCTGTAAGATATTTGAGTATTTCTCTAGTCACTAGAAAAATTTCTGATAAGGACTGCTTTCCCCTCATTGAAAAAATCAAAGTTAAGCTTTATCAATGGTCTTCTAAATTCCTTAGCTATACAGGGAGAATGGAACTTACTAAAACTGTTTTATCCAGTCTTTCCAATTTCTGGTCTAGACAAATTTTTCTGCCTCAATCAATGATTAAAAAAATCGAGCAATTATGCTCTAAGTTCTTCTGGAAATGAGCTGATCAAAAAGCTTATGGTGCTCGTGTGAGCTGGAATAATATTTGTTACCTCAAATCAGATGGAGGACTTAGAATCAAAGATTTAAAGACTTGGAACAAAGCTTGTATGCTCCCTCTCATTAAAAAAATTCTTGCAGGTGAGGGTTCTCTTTGGGTAGCATGTATCAAAATATTTTTAAGGACAAAGACTTTTGGAATGTTGACATCCGTTCATCGCAAAGTTGGGCCTTAAAGGAAACTCCTAAAATTAAGACAGGAAGCTCGTCCTGTTCTGGACGCTGGAAATACAACAATTACAGCAGTTTGAGATGCCATTGGAGTCAAGAAAGCTATTGTTCCTTGGCAGAAAATTGTATGGTTTCCTATGCACATTCCTAAGCATAGTTTAATCTCTTGGATGGCTTTGCTTGATAGGCTTCCTACAAGAGAAAGACTAAACCATATGGGACTAATCACTGACTGCAAATGTATAGCCTTTGGAAACTAGGGATCATATTTTTATGCTATGTCCTATGGCTAATTCAATCTGGAAAAATATTTTTTCTCTCTCGGGACTTCACTTCATCCCTTGCCCGTGGGACGCTTTTTGTGCAAGGGCTTCCAATGCTTGGAAAGGCAAATCAATGCTCACTCTTATTCTGAAGTTATCTTTTAATGCTACTATTTACTTACTATGGGATGAAAGAAACAAGCGAATGTTCCAAGGTAGATCCAAGAATGCTCAAGAATTATTCCATACAATCAGATATATAATTGAACTGCACTTAAGCAATAGGAAATTCAATTGTAATGACAATGTTAATATTACTCTTTCTAGGAATTGGAATATAGGGTGATATTTGTTTTTGTGTTGAATGATCACTGTTATTTCGCTCCGTTTCTTTGTATCTTAATGTTGTACCGGTTGATTTTGGGTAATAAAAAATTTTAATTATCCAAAAAAAAAAATAAGCAAGCTCAAACAAGTATGGATAAATACTTATCTATACTAAACTTCCACTTAAACAACAAGGAAATAAAGATGGGGTGAGAGAAATGGAAAGAACTTTTTAATAGAAAGATTTGAAAAAAAAAATACCTTTGGCATCTGAACGCTGTGTAACGAATATCTATGCTGACAACGATAATAAATTTTTGCCTGTAACTATAAACTGTAATTTTTTTTATTTGTAAACGTGTTACAATGTAATTTATATTTAAAATACTTATTTATTTTTATATAATACAAATTATTTAAAATTTTAAAATAAATTTAAAATCACATTTTTTAAATATGAAAATATTAATTAAATTAATATCTCATAAGTGAAAATAATACATTATTACACAGAGGTAATCTTTAAAACAATGGTTGAAATGATAAAATTCTATGTGATATTATTTTCATATATATTATGATTAATAGTATGTTTAAATTTTTTAATAGTAAATTATTCTAATAATTATTTGAATATATATTTTGATAATAATGATTGTGATTTTATATATATTTCAGTTGTCGTTTAAAATATATAAAAATGATTAATTGAATTGAGATAAGCTTGTTTCACTGAAAATATTTTCTGAAAAATATTTTTCGTAAAATGAATTATATTTCATGGATAACATTTTCTAGAAAATGTTTTACGGTGTTTGGAAGAAGTTGTGTAAATCATTTTTAACTAGTTGATGAATTTTTAAAAAGTTATTTATTTCAAAATTTTAAATACAATAAATAATATTATTTATCATAAAACTCAATATTATTATATTTAAATATTAGAATAATTTATTTATTATAATATTATTTCTATAATTCTATTAATAAAAATATTAAGATTAAATATTTTATTGAAATAAACATTTTAAATTATATTAATTAATTATTCAAGTAATAGTATTATATTATATTTTAAAAAATATTAATTAATGTATTTTAAATATCTTTATTAAAATATTATTATATTATTATACTAATATTAAATACATAAATAATATTATTCATTATTAATAATTTATTAAATATTATTAAAAATAAAAATACAATTGAATATTTATTATATTATTAAAAATATTATATTATATTATTATATTAATAAATATATTTTAAATATTTTAATAATTAATATTTTAATTAAAATGTTATTAAATATTTTATTAATATTAAATTGATAAAATAAAATTATTTTGAGTATTTATTATTTAACGCGAAAAGTTTAGAAAATGACTTACGAAAAATCAGATCGTAAGTCATTTTTCAGAAAACACAAAGAAAATTTTGTTGATCAATAAAATGTTTTACGTTGACCAACCAATTTTCCTCCAACCAAACACCGGAAATGAGGAAAATGGTTTCCAAACATAGTTTTACGTTAAACAAACAGACCCTAATGTTGAATAATGTTTTATGTTTTCCACCAATTTGTTTTGCTTTGTTAAATTAAAATAAAATAAAGTTATTTTTTCAATTGAATGGTGACATAGGACACGGCACGTGGTATGAATGACAGTGGTTAGATGATTAAATTTATTTTAATTTATTAAGAGT